TTTATTTGCGCTCAGCACAGTGAATGCCGAGTATAATATTACATATATTTGAAAGTAAACCATTCAAACATGTAATCACAACTGCCACAATGTTTCTTGAATATTTTAGTAGTGGGTGAGTTATAGCTCAAAGGAAAAACAGTGACATTATAATGGTCTGTCTTACTGGAAAACGGCTATAGAGAGGTTACCGTGTATTATTATTAAAATAGCTTTAGCCTGATAGCTCTAAGCAGACTTTAGAAGTGTGTGTGTGTGTGTGTGTGTGTGTGTGTGTGTATCTCCATCCACTCTGGAATATGAAAAGGAATTAGCCTTTTGCTTGTGTTTTACAAAAAGCTGAGATTGCTTTCTATTCCATATATACTTTACAATCACTTTTCCATGCTTCAGCATGGAATAAAAATGACAGTTTCAAAACAAGCCTTTGACTTGCATTGACAAGCATCATTTTTCTCTCTCTCTGCCCCACAATTCTGCTTGTTTTGGTCCTTTCTGAATGGCATTATTTTCTCATTTTGCTTTTGATGCCATGCAAACGCAGGTCAGTTTATATTTATTTTAAAATTAGAAGAGAGAGAGAGAGAGAGAGAGAGAGCGCTTGAGTTTTACTTTGTTCTGGGGTATCATAGCTTTGGATCGTGCTGTAGTAAACCCTGTCCTAAACAATCAAAAGCAAATTCACACTCTGGATCATTCGGTAGATTCTTTCTAGTATTCCTATGTTGAATTATTATTACTACTATTCAGATGTGTGCACAAATGTAGAATGAGAGACAAAGCTCTTAACATCCCAACCCCACAAAGTAAGTGAGTTCACTGTGACTTAGCCTGAGGAACACGAATACGGATTGCAGCCTAAAGCAATTTACAAAAAAAATGTTTTGTTCTTTTACTGTTGAATACATTATTATCCTCAGAGTGAGAAAGATGATAGTCCTTAGACACAATTCATAGTCCTTGGCGGAACCCAGAGATTATAATTATTCATTTGTTATTTGTTTTTGTTTTTTGCATAGTACCCAAATGTGTACTAAAATGTTAACTGCGTAGTCCAACACTTAAGTGTTTTTCAGGTTCATATATTAATTTGCAGCTGAAAGGGGCAACAGCATAAACAGCAGCCGTTAAGTGTGATTGATTATAGGCCAACCTAATTTACCTTTAATAAGTAGTCCATGTACGTTCATTACATGGCATAGACTTATAGCAATAAGTTTTTTGCCAAAAGCACACTAAATTGAATTCATTGGGCCTTTGATTGTGAAACAAATTATAAACAAGTATGAACCCAGCAAGTGCATTAGAGCAGTGACCCTCTGAGATATATTTTGTGGTGCAGGGGTGGTGGAGAGGGAAAGATGTTCTATTTCAGAATGCCTTTGCTGATGAAGAACATACGAGTGTCTACATGTGGCTTATCAACACACACACACACACACACACTTTGAGGTGTGTTTCGAATGAATGCAGTATCTTCACAAACCACTGATAGGTTTTTATGAATCTTATTGTAGCAAGTAAAAGATACTTTTTATCTAAGCATTTCACTGCAGTCACATAAGATACTCCTGATCTCTTGCACATGGATCTACAGTGGTACCTCTGGTTACGAACTTAATTCATTCTGGAGGTCCGTTCTTAAGCTGAAACCTTTCTTATCCTGAGGCACGCTTTTGCTAATGGGGCCTCTTGCTGCCGCTGTGCCGCCGGCACACAATTTTCGTTCTCATCCTGGGGCAAAGTTTGCAACCAGGAGCAGCTACTTCCGGGTTAGCAGAGCTCGTAACCTGAAGCGTTCGTAAACAGAAGCATTTGTAAACAGAGGTAGCACTGTATGTGTGAGCTCTGAATGGCATGCACAGCGAGTTTCAAGCTGCCACAACAAATTTATAAGAATTATGCATTTCTGTCTAAATAGAGACGAGTCTCCAACTGTATCTGATTGAGACAGGCTAGTGGTTATTGAAAGTGTGAGGGAACTGCCACATTCAGTAATGTTTCAATTGGTTTTTGAAAACTCACTGGAAATCAGTATCAGGGTCACTGCAAACATGGAACCCCACTGGAAAAGGCTGCATGGGAAAAGTGGGACCAGGTCAGGGTTACATACTCCCTGCTTCCATTTCTAAGATTACTCTTCTGTAAGCTGATTTCGTATTTAAAAATGGTCAGTGGAGTAATGTTGCATGCATGTATTTGTTCTTGATAAATATCTTGCACTATCAAAGTGCAAGTAGATTACATTTTTTTTTATTACTATGTATATATCCTGCATTCTCTCTCCCCTCCCCAACAAGAAGCTCAAAGTAGCACCCCCTCCATCCCTGCGGACTGCAGTCCTGTGAAACAGGTTATAGACTGAAAGACAATGATGGTCCCAAGGTCATCCTATGGACTTTGTGCCTGAGTGGCTCTCCTAAATCCTAGGCTGAGACTCTTTAACCACTAAATAGCACAGCGACTATAACTAAAATTGATATTTGTGAATTTCTGTTATATTAGTGGATATTCATGGAAGTTGATAATGTTGCCTGAGATGCTGTTCCTCAGTAAGGGAGACATTAGTAGAGGGGTATGGGAGTTATACTATCTATTAAAAAACGGAGACTTTGAGAAGAACTACATGTATTGTGAATGAAATTCACCTTCACCACAGGATACTAATGCAGAGGTGGGACTGAGACAGGATTTGCAGCAGACAGCTAATGGGCAGGTGCCATTGTTTAACCCTTACTTCAAGTCTTCCTTGCACATGCTACCTGGCCAGGTTTCCCCTATTCCTCCCTCACCTGGGGAAATGACTGAGGAAGGTGAAGTTATTTTCATTTTAAAATTGACTAACTCATGAAAGGTTAGCAACACAAACCCACCAAGCCATTTCTGCCCAGGAAATGCTTTCCTTCATATTGCATTTATCACCAGACACATGTTTGGGGAGCAAGTACAACATGCTCTTCTTTCCCTAGGTATTTTAGCTGATAAATTCAAACACAAAGTGTTCAAACACAGAATACCAAGTCAAATTCAAAAGTGTTTTCATGTCTATCTCCACTTCACAGCAACGTCTGCCCTCCCAATTATGCCTTTGTATTATGTCTACATATGAGATAATATTTATATGCACGGATATAGGTAATCCCTCAGCAAAACTGAACAGGTGGCTATTGATGAGTTTAACCTGATGCATGAATGCACCAGAACATTTTCATTATCTTCAAGGCAACTCTCTTGATTTTTAGTTTTTTGTGGGGTTTTTTTTACTATTGAGCATTTTGAATCGTTTTGTGATTGATTTAGAGAACCAGAAAAATAGGCCAAAAAAGGATGCAGCAGGCATGGCAAACTTCAGTGGCAAAATTCTAAGTGACTTCTTAATCCAGCTTCAAACGCATGACAGCACACTGCCTCAATTCATTCTGCAGTCGCTCTATCATCTTGCAGACAAGCAGAGTATTTGCTATTCAGCACCATGCAAGTGGCCATGCATTCATTCAGGGTACGGAAAGCCCCAGCCTGAAAAGTTGAATGACAATCCAAACACCTAATGCAGGCACCTTTCAAATCATGAGATCATTTGAAATTTTCATTCTGCTTTTTTTAGTTTTGGACTCATGTGTTTTTGCTCCCCCCCCCCCAGCTCTATTGAATTAGATAGGTTTTTTATATGAAAGAAGAACTGAGCATGGCATTTAGAGGGAGGAGTGGGTTTGGTTGTTTCTGGTTATTAATCCTAGGGCGGAGCCAAACTTTCTCAGAGAAGAATTTTTTGAAAACCGCCCCCCCCATCGCACAGCATATGTTTAGGAAGTCAAGTTCTACATGCTGCACAAATAAATGGAAGCTTTTTCTGTCAGGATATATATCATTTGGCAGGGTACTGTGGGTAGGAGAAAGTGTGATCTGTGGGGGATCTATTGTGGGGAATTTTTGAGGGTGAAAACCACATTGTGGCCTTTGGGCGGGGGAGGAATTGAGGAATGGAGAATATAGATGTTGTGGTTATGGGGAGGGAAACAGGCTGGCAGAGGGAGGTATTGTGGTCCTGGAGAAGGATATTCTGTGGGAGGGAAACTGAGGCATGGAGATTGGGGTTGGTGAGCAGTCTAGTTTCTCAGCCTTTGAAATGCATGGCCTTCAAATTGTCATGGTCATCATCATAAGAATGACTAGGCATATTTTAAAAACTGATGCAGAGATTTGGGTGTGAAAAGTCAAATCAGCTTTTTAGGTTGATGGACACTGCTTAACTTCAGTGCACACTTGTAGTTGCCAACATTGTGAACTTAGCAGACTTTTGAAAAGCGAGGATTTTAAAAAATGATTATATATCCTAATGTATATATTTTGTTTGGTTTTTTTTTAAAAAAACCCACTCACTTTTCTGTAAAAGTCATATGACTCAATAAACTATTATAATAGTACACAGTCATAAATAAATATTTATTAACTCGTATTTTGTCAGCTTTTCATTGGAGAATCCTTTTTTTTATTTTAGATGTATAGGAATTTGATTGTTTATTTCAAACAAAACAAGATAAATGAATTTATTCTACTACATATGTCACATGATCATATGATCTTAGGAAAGGGTTGTGCCGTGTCAAAAGGTTTTTTATTAAATTACTAGGTATGAGCTCTGTTTAAGAAAACTCATTTTGTATCTTCCTTTCATTATGCTTGAGGATATGACTCTTTCTAAGTTTGTTTCCAAATTTATGATGAGATCTTTGAATCAGCTGATGATGAATAAAACTTTTAGTTAGAATAATGCATCTGAAATCCATTGCTTGGTAGATTTTCCTTCTTTCCTTCTTTCCTTCTTTCTTTCTCTTTCTTTCTTTCTTTTCTTTCTTTTTAATTTTATAGTTTGGAAAAAGAAATTGATCATTCTCACGTTTTCTCACAAATTATTTTCTTTGCAATTCACAAAGGTTTTTTCCCCTCGAATTAAGATTTGCTAATTAAAATTTCCCCTTGTCTTGTTTTTTTTTTTCCAGCTCTCGTAAATGTGAAACTTTGGGCTATTGATCGGCAATGTTTTCAAACAATAATGATGAGGACAGGCCTCATCAAGCATACAGAGTATATGGAATTTTTAAAAAGGTATGACACTTGTTTATTTTTTGAAACACACACTAAATTTGCTGCCCTCACTTCTTGGGTTTTTGTGGGGATCTTTTTTCTCTTTCTTTTTTGAATGCAGTGTAATGAGCACTCATTTCTGCTCATCACTTTTAATTTTATGTTTTACCCACTTGTTTGGCATAAGAGCTTGAAGAAGGGGAAATGATAACTGAAAATCTCAGCCTCATTAACTGTTTGCTTTTCACTCATTATAATTCATCTGCATGGTTGTTTGTGGAAAAATAACACCAACATCAAACATACAGTAAGCATATAAATACCATTTTCAATATGTGCAAATCAAAGATCTCTCATTAAAAAAAAGACATGTTGAAGAAAAATGTGTTTCAGAAAAATGGTATATGACCTAATTTGCAAACTGTTCCACTTAAAACATTTTTTCATATATATAACTTCCAAATAGAGGCAATTTATGAGGCTTAAGAGAAACAAAAGCTTTTTTGCTGGAGGCATCTGCAAATATGGGTCAAATGAGTCATAGAAGAAGAGAGGCATAAGGATGTGTCTTGTTATCCCTTAAACTTGAATTTAAACTCTCAAAAATTATGCTAGTATTTCTTCCCCGCCACATCATTATAAACCTACCACAGTGTGAAGATATCTATGCAGTGGTTGCTGATTAATGTAAATATTAGTTGCATTTTAATTATAAATAATCAAAGATTAAAAATAAACATGTGGTCCTTGTTCAGAGAAAAGGCGAATACCACCAAAAGCCACCAGGAATATCCAACAAGTCTTGTTGCCTGGGCAACAGTGTTCCCATTAGCCTTTTGTCCTACTCCCATTGAATATTTCAGTCCAATGATTGGTTTGTTTCTATGTGTCAAGCTTGCAGAGCCCTGGAAAGAGAACAGATCTTATAAATTAATGAACTGAAGTACTAAGTAAACATGCTAAAGCCATTTCCAAATGAAGTCGATTAATCTCATGGTGAATCTGGAATTGTAAAAATTAAAGCCATTATCAATAAATATGCTTTCATCTTGATCCCATGCGGAGTTAGGGATAATGTTGTGCAAGCAGGTGTGGCTCCTTCCTCTATTCCCTCCCTGCAGCCCCCCTCACATCACCAAAATCTGTTTCAGAGGGTTGGGGGCTACAGGGCAAGTGAGATGAAGCAGAAGCAGAAATTTGTTTTGCAACATGGTAGACATCATTGTATGTCTCCCAAGAGGCTTAGGTGTACCTGACTCAGCATAAGGTTGGACTTTACACTGCATGCTTATGTTGAATTACTAGAGAACAAGTCTCATTGAATTTCTCTGAACTCACAAAGATCAATGGAAGCTCCATAGTGCCCTTTGATAAGAATGTACTTCTCCTTCCTCTGCTTGTCCTACATCTGTTGCTGTAGCAACTGAATACTGGGTGGCGGTACCCTAGAAAACAGCTTTTGGGAATATCTGATATATGGTTTCTGGACATTCTCACAGTTTTACTACTGGGAATATTTGGGATCATAAAAAATGTGTCTCTAAGCCAGATTGCTAGTTTTGTCCTTCTTCTGGGGTGGAAGAGGATTGATTGACTTGGCACACTTACTTGAATTATCCAGAACTATTTGCTTTGAACATAGTAAGCTGAGTCAGATCATTGGTCCATCTAGCTACACTGACTTGTTAGGGGGCTAGCCAAGATTTGAGATAGGATTTCAGACAGGCGTCTCTTCCTGGAGATGCGAGGCATTGAACCTGGAATCTTCTGCATGAAAAGCAATGGTCTACCACTGGGCTATGTCTCACCTTGTATTTGCATCTATTACACTGTGCTTGTATTATGTTGTATCACTTTGCTTATATGATACTGTATATATAATATTTCATGGGTTAATGGGTGATGAGAGCTGAAGTATAAGGGATTTTGCTATACAGTAGACAACTTGACATTGATTCTGAGCCGTCTGTGTTTTTCTGAAGGATTTTTTTTTTAAACATGGGACCTACTTATAAGATTTATTTACCTTCAGAGTCCATATAGTATGTCCCCAAAACATACAAATGCTGCTTATATCTATTAATTGAGCGTGTCTGATGTAGGTCTGGACAAATCAGACTATTTCCAATCCATGTCACTTTTGTATGTGTTCACTTTTAAATCTGGGCTATCTTTTCCTGTATTAAGCTATGAATTATTATTTCTTAATTGTATAGTTTTACATATAATTTTAGAAACATAGAATCATAAAGTTGGAAGGGACCCCCAAGGGTAATCTAGTCCAAGCATCCAAGATAGATGGCCATCCAACCTCTGCTTAAAAACCTCCAGTGAAGGAGAGTCCACAGCCTCCTGAGGCTTGTTCTTCCTGATGTTTATTTGGAATCAGCTTTCTTCTAACTAGAAGCCATTAGTTCAAGTCCTACCCTCCAGAACAGGAGAAAACAAGCTTGCTCTATCTTCCTTGTGACAACCCTTAAGATATTTGAAGATGATTATCTTATCTCATCTCTGTCTCCTCTTTTCCAGGCTAAACATGCCAGGCTCCTGTATTTGGTCTCAAAATATTCATTTTGATATTTTTTTAATTGAGCCAATAACTGTGTTATGACATTGGGGAAGTGTGAAATAACCTGAGTTCCAGCCTGCACATTAGTATGGGTAGTGTGGATTAGATCAGCTGGTATAGTAATTCATGAAGCATGCCTAATTTGGCATAATTTGTTAAGAGAACACTCTGATCAGCATATCTTTAATGGAGGAAAGAACAGTGTGGTTAGAGCACCAGACAGTGCAATGTAGACTGGATATACAACTTGAAAAAAGTATATTAAAATTCCATATAATCAATGAAGTCAGCAAATCTGAATAGTTATTAAATTTGCTTATTTTGTACAAATTTAAACATTTTGGAATTTCCCATATAGTAATAAGGATTGCACTCTTCATAGTGCCTGAAATGATCTTTGTAAAATTGTCTTCTTATTATTGCCTAATGCCACCACCCTCTTTATAAGCATTGTCACTACAATCTGTCACAACGTGCTGTCTTGCACAATTCCAACCTATAACACAATAACAGGGAGTGACAAGGGCTTGAGACTGGAGTGGAAATCTTTTTTCAGCTTGATTGAAAACAAACAGGGGAATCTTAACACTAGGACATGGACTTTGGTCCAGCCAGTCGTGTTGCTGAAATTCAGATACCTGCTCTATTACATTGAGCCCCAAAGCACAGCAAAATGACAAATGATTTACTGGATGTGGAAAATACTGAAAGAAAAACTTTGAAGACTGAAGAATCTATGCCCGTACACTCACATAGTAGAATTGTAATGTATATGTCACTTAGATTTTGTTTTGAACTCCTTAGCTGAGGTCTAGAAATTCAGATAATTTGATCTTCCCTTGCTGTTTTTATTCATTAGTGAATGGTTTTAATTATGCTTTTTTTTGCATTATGCATTAACAGAACAGCTCTTCCAGTCCTAATGGACTGAGTGGGCTATTAAAGGTAAAGGTACCCCTGCCCGTACGGGCCAGTCGTGTCCGACTCTAGGGTTGTGCGCCCATCTCACTTAAGAGGCCGGGGGCCAGCGCCGTCCCAAGACACTTCCTGGTCACGTGGCCAGCTTGACGAAGCTGCTCTGGTGAGCCAGCACCAGCGCAGCACACGGAAACGCCGTTTACCTTCCCGCTATAAAGCGGTACCTATTTATCTACTTGCACTTAGGGGTGCTTTAGAACTGCTAGGTGGGCAGGAGCTGGGACCGAACGACGGAAGCTCACCCCGCTGCGGGGATTCGAACCGCCGACCATACGATCGGCAAGACCTAGGCACTGAGGTTTTACCCACAGCGCCACTCGCGTCCCAACGCGTTTAGTTGGGCTATTAGGCCCAACTAAAGCTTAGTTCTTAGTGAGGTGCCAATGTTATGTCTAGAGTATATTATGGGATGGTACTGTAGTGTTCAAATTATAAGAGAAAGGTAGAGGGGGCCATAATGGAATTCACAAGTCATTCCTTGATATCTGCAAATTTTAGCTATTTGATATCTCCCTGTAGCTTTTTACAAGCAGTCACAAAGATGACCAACAAAACTGGTAAGGGCACCAGAATCCCCCCATGAGCAGTGTAATTCAATAGGTTGGGGCTCACATGATAAAGAATTAGGCTCTGTGTAGACTCTGTGTCAATTCTCCACAAACAAGGAGCCACCGCAGAACTGGCCCATTCTTGTGTGGCCACCCTCTGGACCTCTTGTGGAGGAAGGGCACAAAAAAGGGCCTCAGATGATGGTTGCAGGGTCTGGGTTGGTGCATATGGTGAGAGTTGGTCCTTGAGGTATTGTGGTACTGAGTTAGAAAATACAAAAACCGGTGTGAGAGTCAAAATCTCTCTCTCTCTCTCTCTCTCTATATATATATATAAAAACACACACACACACACAACATATATATATAGCCAAAATACTATATATATAAATAACATATATATGTATATATTTTACATTATCATAATTGCAGTGCACCATGCAAATATAAATGATCATACTGATTATTACAGAATGATAGTAAGGGTCCATTTCCACTAGAAGCAATCTATCATGTTTGTGCATCACAAAACCCAAGGGCAAGCAGTGATTCTTACCACCAGAGTTTGATAAAGTAAAATCCATTTGACATTCATGTGGTAAGAGTGATAGGTTGTATTCGGGGGGAGGGGGGGTTGACTTTAATTAATGGCATAGGTAGTAAACTATTGCAAATGGTACAAGGACTGAGTCATAACAGGAGGAATTCTGTTATCTCCATTCAGGTGGATGGGTAGCAACTTGGCAGAATTTCTTATTAGAATCCAATACAAAAATAATTTTCCTCAGGAAAATAGGATTTCGTTATACTACACCTAGTTGAAACAGACTTGGTATGATTACTCATAGTTTGTAAAGTGAATTGCAACTATGATACTTCATATATATATTTTAAATTTTCTGGATCTTATTATTGCTTGTAGTTCT